AAGGACATTGCGTTCACACACAAACACTTGTGGTAATAAAGTAAAGCACTATGAAATAAACTATCACAGGTTTACAGTATGAAGGTTATAAATAACACTGGATATGAAATCCTAAAAGTTTATGTACAGAGATATTTTAGAACAGAATGAGGTCAACACATAGAAAAGCTTAGTACCACCATAGCGCCCTTCACCTATTGCAATCAATCTGTTTAATTTTATTAACATTTAAAATAATAATAGTGCTAAAACAGATGAAAGCACTGTAGGAAAAAAAACAAACATCAAGAATCCTTTACTGTTTGCTGGTAAAAAGGCAGAACTGTTTTATTTGACTTGGTCGCAATTACAGATTTGGTCAATTTGACCAAACCTTTTAGCCTCGGTCAACACTACTACGGAATCTTTTTTAACGGATGTGTTTCTCAATCCACACAGTTTAACACAAAACCTGAAATACACACTAGGTGGCAAGAACAGTCACCATAATGATATATTACCATATAGTAGAGCATTTCATTATTCTGCAACTGCTGGAGACTAGTTTGCAGGTTGCAAAGGCTTGCAGTCTTGAGGCTTGCATATTGAACATTAAGATCTTAAATGCTTTTTAATTTAGTGTTCATATGTTTACAGTGCTAGAGCTGTTTTGACACATGTGAGGCTTTACCCCCCAAAAGTCCAGGTCTAAACATGTCGATGATGAATAATGATTAAAAACTGGTCCAACTTTGCCAACTTTGCAAAGTGTACTTTAGTGTAGGGCTGGGCGATAAATCGATTTTATCAATTAATTCGAAGTTGCTGTGTATAAAGACTTAATTTTGGGGAAACAGGAATATCGAATATTTTGTTGTCTCATACATGTCAACCTCTTCGGATGTTTACCTGGATAAAAAGCCTCAAAAATCTGTAAATTTTACAAAAAATCCATACAACTCATACCCGGGGGCGGAGTGGGGTGCAAATAAATCTAAGTTTACTATAGTACCTTACACTGTCAAACTTGTTTTTAGGGTTCAAATTGGGGTGGGTGGGACATAGTTCGGGGGAGGGGGGTTGCGCTTCAACTCGCCTAGGGCACCAAAATGGCTAGAGCCAGCACTGCTGATTAGACATGTGTTGAGCTAATATTTGGTGTGGCAGTCGGTGAGCATCATCTCCAACACATACTTTGAATTCAACACATTGAACAACCTTGTTGAACAACATAATTTGCTCCAAAATTTGGCATTAATCAATGGATTCAAACTGTCTTGTTTGTTGTACATCTATTACTTTTTAGAGTCAACCCAGTTGGAGATGTCCACAACAGTTTATTCAACTTAGCCTACACAGAAATGGCTGTACATCTGTGAATTTTCCAGTAA